GGTTTTTTTTCCTGTTCTTTCAAGAAAGTTTTCAGTAATTTGTCCAAAAAGAGAGTATTTATACAAAAATACTAGAACCTCCAAAACTTGATTTTAACTGAAGAACTAAAAGATTACTATCAAAGCTTGGAATTTAAAGTCATTATTTTATTGGCTGCTAAAAATCACCCTAAATGGAGACTCTGTGTTTAGGGGTATATTTTTTTTCCTACATGTAAGTTGTCCCTGAATGCTTCACAAGCAATCATTCTCTTGCTCTCCCTCCCTGCCTCCTCCAAGGCCTGAATTTATTGCTTGACTTTATCCCCCACCTCTGTAGCACAGTTGCAAACCAATGTTTCTCTTTGGTTGCCTAATTAATTAACATAACTAAGTTAAACTCAGAGTAATTGTTCTTTTCTTCTATTTAGCTTGAGTATTGCTCCTTTCATTTTCAAACATGAAGGTCTTCTGTGCCCAAAAGCTTGTCTCTTCTTCCTTATTTTTAACTTCATTAGGTAGTCTAGTAAAGGATATAAAAAGGTTACTTCAGACCAACTATTACATCCAGATTATTGGCATATGTCTGAGAATTTCATCAGAGTAAATAAAAACTATATTTTGTACTTTTAATCTTAGACTCTTGAAGCACTTACAAAACCTTGTGTTACTTCATTTTTATGTGCACTGGAACATAAATCCTGAATAGGCAAAACTGTTAGCCCTTTATCTTGTTGGAAAAAGCAATAAATAAAGTGCAGCATTTTTCCCTGCTAATCTTGAATCTAGACTGCTCCAAGCTCTATACTATCAACCTCTGATTTCCACTGATATGTTTAAAATAAACCAAAATAAATTCTCTATACCCTACTTCCCACTGTGTAAAATTCAGGGCAGGGGTTGGGGGCTCAGTTTTGGATGTGTGACATTCCTTTTTGTGCCTATATTGCCCTGCTAACAGTTCTCCCCAGACTCAGGCATGTTACAATCTCTGTTGTCCACCCGCAGTTCTACCCTGGCAAGCAGTTTTTTCAAGAGTAAGACTTTTCTCTCCCTGAGTCTAGACATCTCATTTTTGGATCTCACCTTCCTTTGTTCTCATCTAATTCTTGCTTTCCTCTACTGGTTTTCCTGCTCTTACACTCATGGTTTGCCAGAACACGGATTCATATGCAAGTACAAATGTTTTAAAGCATTAAATAAGATAGAGGCAAAAGAGTCTGTGGTTAAGGTATTTGTCCCTGACCTAGCACACTTGGATTCACTTCTCAGCTGTACAAGTCACAAAATCTATTCATTTCAGTTCTGCATGTGGAAAATGGTGATGATAACTTTCTTATTCAACCAAGTATTTCAGTGATAAACCCTAATTTGTGAAATGTGCTCAAATAATGTTGTGTTGCAAATCTGAAGATAGGTTTGGGTAAGATGCCTGAACTGCTTAACCATCCCTGATACCAGAAAGGGCACATCCTTGGTACTTCCTCGCTTCTGCTTGTGCAGTCTTACTCCATCGCTTGTCCCGGTTCTGGCTTTTGTCCGGACACCTGGCAATCAGATCAAGTCACTGACAAAAATTGAGTAGAATTGTGATCGTTGAGTAGTAGAATTATTTTCTAAGGAGCTCTTATCGTGGGCTTAGCAGTGCTGCATTCAGTCGACAAGGAGGCACATTGGGGGTAAAGTAGAAGGAAAGTAGCTCCTCTCTTAAAGGATCTCCACTGAGGCTGGATGCAAAGCCGTCCCCTAAATATATCTGATGGCTATGGGGCCCAGTGAGGCAGGTCATCCATCTTGCAAAATCAAGAAGTCAAGGGAGTAATCCATTCATTTCCTTTTTTTCCCCTCCTCAGTCATGCATGTTATGACTTCTTTGCTTTTCCAGACTTCCCTGACTTTACAGGCTGTGAAGTCTGTTCTTGCCCCACAGAGACTCATCAGTCACCTACAGACATGTCTTCAAAAGTGGAAGAAAAGGAGAAGCAGGAACAGTGGCCTTCCTTTGATCACTTTGTTGCATCCTGGAACAATTTAGGTTTGAAGATGCCTTGGATGGCATCTGTGTGAAGCAGGACTAATGTTGCAAGTGGTTGAGGATTGTGTCCCGGTTAGTTTTGAGTATCTCTAAGGATGGTGATTTTATGGCTTCTCTGAGAAAGACCTGATTATATAGGGTGAATTACCGCTTGTTTTGGAGAGAAAGTGTATCAGGATTTTCTTCAATTTATTGGGGTCAAATGGAAGCTTCACCATCCAGGTGAATTTTGCCACCTCCAAACTAATTAGTCAGCTTGTGAGTTTTTGACACCTACTTTCCATGAGCTTTTTTTTTTCTTGTTATTCTTCTGTTCAGTAAGTGAGAAAGGTATTGACTGGTTTCGTTTTGCGTATTTTCTTGCTACAAGATCTGCTTTCTCGAGGATGGAGACAATCATTTTAACATCAATATTGTAGGGATGTATATCTATTTCCATAGGAACTCCCATAACACCCTCCCAAAAAGAAAACTGGCATAGTTTCAGCTGGCAGCATTTTTAGGGGGAAAAAAATCAAGACAAATATTTTTGTCCTCTTTCAATGCCTTCTGAGAAAAGTAAAAAATTACAAAAAAACCTAGCAATAGATGTTTTTTGTTTGGAATATCATTAAATAATTTGCTGCTCCAGGCTTCAATGGAAATTGGGAAGTCTTTGTGACTTTTTAAAGGTATTTGATTATTTATATCTCATTAGATGTATAGCACACTGGACATTGGGATTTTTTTAAATCTCTCAACAGCAAACAATATTACATAGCTTAATAAAAGACTGAAATTAGTCATAACAAACTGCATTTTAAACAGTGTTTTAAATCAATACAATTAGCAATTTCTTTTTAACTAAGTGAATAAAAATTCAGTTTATGAGGAACTATTTTCTAACAACTTAGAAGTGATAAGAATAAATCATTTCTAATATGAAAATAATAAACTTCTAAAACATGCTTTGTACAAAAAAAACTTTATAATTTTGTGCATAATGTGCTTAGATTGATAAATGATGTTATAATTTTTTTTTTTGTAGAAACATTTTTTTCAGTAGCTTTAAGCCTATAAGTAGGGAAACTCTCATCCAAGTGATCAACAAAGCAGAATTCACTCTGTGTTTTCATTTAGGAGAGGCTTTCATCAACTTAGTCTCAATTCCTTCAAAGTTCTTGAAACCCAGGCACTGGAGAACTACTTTAAAAATTTGCTTGCACTTGCTGTCCTCCATTTTTATTCCATTTGGCTCATCTTGGAAAACTTGGAAGAAAGAAATTCTATCTGGCAACTGGGCAATAATAACTTTAAACTGTCAACCCTTCTGTTGGTTTGGGGTTTTTTTTCTGGAGATTTTTTTGTTTGGTTGGTTTTGGATTTTATTTTGATTTTGGGGGTTTGTGTTTTTCTTCTAGATTTTCTGCAATTAGAAAAGAACATCCTACCAGTGCAGTCTGGTTCCATCCTTTTTCTTTGGCAGCATCCTCAGCATGTGGCTATCCTCATGAATGTTAACTCAAGCACTTACAAATGATTCTTTCTTATTCCTATGACATCCTGCCTACAATTCAGTGATACCTGTTCATACAGAGTGACATACTGAGAAACTAAAAATATTTAGTGAAGTAGTAGTGAAAAATTTATGAAAAGTATTTCGGCTTCAGAGTCATTGACAGAGATGAGTAGTAGAATAATAAAGAAAAAAACAACAAAAATGCCTCTGGAGATACAAATGAAGTTTGGGCCACAAATACTGTGGAAAATCAATTCTATTTTCTTCTGTATGTTTGTGGGTTATGCAGACTAGGAGGAAGCAGTCAGGATATGGTTTCACGTGCCTGTCATGGCCAAGCCATGACAAGCCAGAACTAACTTGTTGCACCTCAGATGTTTCTGATATATTTATACTAAATTACAGCACCGTGTAAAGAATGAAAAGTAAGACATGTAGCATATTTCCCCAAAAATATCTAAGTGTTACAATGCCTTCATGCTTTTTGGGGGGGGATTTGTTACTTTTGCTCTACTTAGGTAGATCAGACAGATGTTCTCAGAGAAAATAAAGAACAAATATAAGTGAGATCCATCTATGGCAAATATATTTTTGTGCTCAGAAATATGTTCTCTTTTTGTGTTTCATTTTAGAAAGATGTGAAAGAGACTGTGTAAAAATTAAATACTCAACATAAAGAATAATATGGAGGGGAAAAAAGAAATTAGTTAGCCAAAAAATCATTTCCTTCTGACAATGTTATTAGAAATATTAATAAAAAAATTGAGAAAATAAGTACAGATCTTGGGCAAAAGGAAAAGCATATTGTTTGGAAATATTACCAACCAATTCCAACTTTCAGTATCTATTTGCATCCTTTTTTATCGTCATCTTTTTGATGAATATTCACCAATTGTTCTTGTAGACAGACTTAAGTCCTGTAATTGATTCTCTGTAAACTAAGCAAATGGATGTTCTTTGGATAGAATTATTTAAAGTCAACCATCTTATATTTAGATTCAGACTACAGTAGAAGGACAAGAGAAATGTACATTTCTGTAGTACAGTCTATTTTGCCATGTTTTTCATTCCTTACAGCATGAATTTGTAGTTACATTTGTCAGATACAGTGTTTGCCCAGCCAGTGGAAAGTGGCAGCACTGTAGAGTTTTCCATATTTATGGAACAGACAGATGAGTGTATGTCTGCCTTGCTGAGCATAAGTGCGGACAGAAGGCATTACTGAAAAGTATTTCAGTTGTAATGTTACGACAGAAGATTTACTTCTGAAATACGGAGTAGGGAAGAAAATTTCTCTGTTGAAGTAAATACATAACAGAATAGCTTTTTGCAGAATGCCAGAGGCGCTGCTAACAATGTGTTGTAGGAAAGTTTTGTGTAAACAGTATTTAAATAGTTCCTCCTTTACTTTAAAAAAAAAAAAAAAAAACACCCAGATGTGGTATGTAATTACTTTACTAAGAGTTGGTTCTTTTGGTTTCTATTTAGGAAGAACCCTTTGTCATGGTGTCTGAAAATGTTCTGGGAAAACCAAAGAAGTATCAAGGCTTCTCAATAGACGTGTTGGAAGCCTTGGCCACTTACCTCGGCTTTAAATACGAAATTTATGTTGCACCGGATCACAAGTATGGGAGTCCTCAAGATGATGGGTCATGGAATGGACTGATAGGAGAACTGGTATTTAAGGTAAGGTTATTAATATCTTACTAAATAAGGTCATGTGATAAAGCTAAATAATATGTGGTGTGTTATGCAGTGTATATATATAAGAAAAAGCCAGAAATAGTGTTTGCTGGTAACTATTTAAGGAGCAGAGCAATTTCTTTTTTTCCAACCAAAGTACAACAGTATGAAATCTGAATACAGTCAAATAATGGGATGCACAGCTTCCTAATTAATTTGGCAAGACCTGACACAAATGAGTTGAAGAGGCTGTTCAAAAGAGGAAAAATTGGTGTTGCAGTAATTGGTGATACATTGCATAAATAATGTATAGCACTTAGAAAAATGCTGGTGTGATGAATACATGAAGTATATAATCAGCAGAAAATGTTTTATTGATATATAACAACACTTATATTATGTAGATGTATGAATCAAGAGTAGTATGTTCTCTGTTCTGTAATTAATAAACCATTTAGTCTACTTAATTTTACATTAAATATTAAATGTTGTATCATAAATAAATTAAACCAAATAAATGTGACATATCTTTCTTCTTTTCCCTCTCTTTACATCTTGACTGTTTGCAGCTTCTCCCATTGAGAGAGAAGGACGGGGCTATGCAGACTCTATTCTGCTGATGTCTCATTTGTGCCGTGAACATATATATTTTATTTGCTCTTAGTTAACCTGTAGAGTCACCTTTTACAGCTATAGAGACCTACATTTGTTGTTTTTCCTTAAATAACTGCAGTAGATGTTCATGTAAATAACTTCTTGTTTATGAAAGCGCTTTTCCAAATCTGCAGGTGGAATTTAATTGATAATCACCGCAAAGAATAAGGAGCAATCAGTCAGATACAGGACTTAAACATTAAATGCTTCAGCTAAAATTCAGCAAAATGCTGGAAAATAAGTCTTGCCATAAAGGAAGAAATAAGGAAAAAATCAAAAACTGAAAAATAATACCCATGTGAAAAAAAAATTAGCCATAGGCTTAACCTATTTTGCGTTCCTGAGCAGTAGGAAGCCTGTTGGAATGGAAAACCACCACACATGCCATACATGTGGCACAGTTCATACATCTACACTGTAGTAATAAACTTCTTTTGCCATCTTCCTATGCCCTTACAAAGCTGCAAGGTTAAATGCTGTGGTCATAGATGGTAAGCTGGAGCCACTTGGAAAAGTACATTTTCCTCTATCTTCTAAACTTTAACAACTAAAAATCCCTTGTCTAACTATGAGATGTAACACCGCGATGGCCTATTAATTTATTTTTATAATTTTTTTCTGTTCCTTAAATCTGATGTTATACTATCCCCTACTCAGCAGGCCACTGCATAACACAAGCGGGAGTGTTCTTAGTTCTAGATGGTTCTGGAGATGGAAATGGGCCTGGAACACTTTCTATTTATTTGAAATGAACTATTCATAAGGCAGAACTCATAACTGAAAAAATATATATGGCATTCTTGTCTCCTCAGTAGGCAGGGACTCGTATAACTCTAACGACATGCTTAAGGTGGTAACCACCTAGATCTGAAAATAGATACCTTAAGTAGAACAGATTTACCTGTCTGCTACGATTTTGCTGTAAATTTAAACTGTAAATGTACAGTTAAAAAGTATGAAGAGTTAATGGAACTGCATTTGGAATTAGAAAAAAGTAAGTTTTCCCAACACTATGCCAGTGTGTAATTTTTAATCTTTCTTACCCCTTATATAACTAACAGTGAAGGTTCACTGTGTCCTTCTCTCCCATTCTCTGTCCCTCTTAAGGCAAAAGAGAACCTCTGGGCAAGCAGCCAGTATGTATCTACCCCTGACCAAGTGCAAGCTGTTCTTGAAAGGCTGCTTTCTTATTTACTGTGAACTGAGTTCTGCTCCCAGAGCTCAAATATCCATCTGCTTGGCAACTTTGTAAGGGGAAGCAAAGGAGTAGAGAATAGTTTTAAATTAAAGGTCTAACCTGTTTAAAACAGAGTGTTTCCTTCTTTTCCCAACCAAGTCTTAAATGATAGTCTGGCCAACACGTAGAGGAAATCCAGAAACAGAGCGGGTGCTCTTTGCCTGTTAGTGTGTGAGCCGGAAATGAGTTGGGAACAACGTATTTCTGCAAAAGACAAGTCCCACTTAAGGGTAATGGAAAATAGCTGCCTTCTCTTTTTGAGTGCATCTCATTGACAAGGATGTCTGTGGCCACTACAGAAGATGTGTCATATGAAATGGCAGTTGCTGTAGCAAGCACATAATTTCTGTGTTCAGGATCAATATATGTTGTTTGCATTAACCTGATTCAGCATGCAGCAGGCTTTGATGCAGGTCCTCATATCAGTGAGAGCAGTCCCCGGCTGCTCTCGTTTGCAGGAGCCCTGCTTGAGCTGCAGTTCAGGGCGGAAGCCCTGTGGTCCCAAGTACATGACCTAGGTCCACAGCTGGCCTCACGGACATGACATTATGTCAGGTTCATTCTGTTCCAGCTTTGAAGACAAGGTACCTGTTGGCTGCTAAAATCGGAGCTGGAATCAGCAGATCAAAGCAACTGGAAAGCAATTCAAGCCTCCCCTCCCTTGATTGTCAAGACCTGTACTAGGTACACCCTTGATCCATACACCTTCTCCTGCCACAATAAACTGAACATAGCCATGCTATGGAAAGATTTCTGTTTGCTGAGTGACTGAACCAGAAGGTCTACAGACAATAAATGCTCTTTGAGAGAAGCACGTGGTGCTCTTGCCCGGCTCCCGTCAAATGACCGAAGCTTTCAGTGCATCCTGCAGAGCTTCAGTTCACAAACAGGATTAGTTCAGAGAGCAGCAGATTTCTGTGGAGAGGCTACAACCATCTCAGAGGAGCAGTGCTTTACTGCAAATCTTTCTCTTGCTGTTAGTTATCTGTGTCTTTTCACTAATGCCACTTCTGGGAGAGGACAGTAGGCTTTCCAGCATGGCTCTGGACTTCCTGGTGATATCCATATACATCAACCATTATTTCCCACATTTCACCATGCTACCTTGATTGATAGGATTTTTTTCCAATGAGGAGCCATCAGGAAGCAAGTACCATATGGAAAACTGCCTGATTTTGCTTAGGTATATCAGAAAAGGAAAACTAAATATGTGCTTAAACATTTCAATGAGAAACTGCAAGCCAAGTAGAAACCTGTTATGAGGGGGTTTTTTTAATGCATCTTCCTAAGGGGAGTAGCATAGGAAGGAAAAAAACATACAGGGAGGACCAAGTAAGAAGGAAAAGTAATATCCAAGTAAAAGGAGAATTATTTGGACTTATGTGTGTTAACTTGAGCAAAAATGTCTCTCTGATTAATTTTTGCATGTCTGTATTAATAACTGCATAACACGTGGGACTGTGGTTTATTGCTTCCAGCATTCACTGAAACTTGATTTAACATTGAAAATGGACAAAATGAAAGGCCTCACGGGAGCAATTTAAAGTAGATTCATTTATTTTCCCTGTTGTTGATCATGAACGACAAGAATCATCATAAGATTGCTTTCTAAGTGTACGAGATGTGCTTGCTTAAGCAATAGCATAGGGGTATGTTGGGGATTTCTAGCCTTTACTGATGAGCTGGTTCTGTGACACCAGTAACAGTGTTATCAGACCCATTTGGTCATTTATTTTGGATTTTCTGATTCCAGTAATTTGGCTCTACAATGGCCTCAGGAGAACTGCTGTTAAGGAATATAAATTCCTAAGTAGGTCATGTAAAGAAAAATAATGCCCTCTGGTGTTTCTTTCCGTTAGTCAGTCTCAGGAGTCACAGTTTGATTCATCAGAAATGTGTTAAACAGACTTCTAAGATGCTGATGGTTGATTTTGGCACCATGAAAACTTAGTGAGTGGAGAGTTTTACAGGTTTATAATTCAGATTGGCAGCTTTACATCTAAATATTGACATAATTGTGTGTATTTGCCTTTCTATCTCAGAAGCACTAAGTGAACCTTAATTTCTTCAAACTGATGTCTCCTTTGATCCAATTTGACATGTTAACGACAAGCATTTAATTTTTTTCTTCTTCCAATTTTGATACAAGTTGACAGAATCTATATGTAATCAAGAATGCTCATCATTAGTAGATTAACTATTAAGTTAAGCTTACGCTTGGTTTTGTGCTAAACAAAGTTTTCTGGTAAACTGATGTTTATGATTCCATTTAGTAGATTAAGAATATGAATTGTTATATTTCAGTCTAATCTTTGTGTAGCTCTTTAAGATAAAAAAACAGGAGTACTAAGAAGTCAGGACTTGTCTCTCTCCTTTCTATTTTTTACTTTACTACCACTCTTTAATCACAAGACATTATTATATCACAATTGCTGCTGCAGTATGACAAAGGAAATGCAACATTTCCATTAGAACAATGTACTTCCTCTGTCATAGTCATAGATGGCTGATAACCAGAGCAGAACCATAATGCTGGGGAATTTGGAGAGACTGCTCCCCAGACATATAAAATAGAAGAAGTATTTCCACAAATACCTCATATTGTGCTTTTTGGTGCAATGCCCTGCAATGTATTTAATGGAGAAATATATTTCTCTTTTAAAAAGGGGGCAAAAAAGCAGAAAAAATTCTATTAGTCATTCAGTCCTACAGTAATCTATTATTTGGTAAAGGTATCTTTACTTATGTATATTGCTTTTCAGTGGGGAATATTTAAATGCATTACAAATACATCGAGTTAGCACCTCATAATAATTTAGTGCGTTAGGGAAGTATTTTACTAACATCCTGATAATTAATAACAGTGCTAAAGTTAAACAGCAGGGGCTAAGTCTAGGACTTTTTGTTTCCATATGTCCTCCTTTAACCCTGAATTCCTATTTCATTTTTTTATATACATTCAGGGGAAAAAAAAACAAAAAAAAACAAAAAAAACCAAAAAAAACCACCAAACAAGACTTATTCATTAAATATAACCATATTTTCCTGTTTGACAAGTATTGGTACAGAGCATTGGACTTCTACATTTGTAAATTATTTTTAAAATGCACTTATATTCACAGTTGTGGAAAACAGTTCAAATATTGACTGCTTTGCACCATGCTTACTGGAGCTAGGACTGAACCGTTAGCAGATACTGTGAAACACTCAAGTCACTTGTTGACCAGAAGTTTTATAAGCAGAGGTTAGAGACTCAGATGACCTCAATGTTTCCATGGACAATTCTGATTAAATTTTTACTTGGATTACTGACTGAGTTTGCTGTTGCCCAAGGGCAAAGGGCAGTTAAATCATCACTCAAAAAATTGTTAGGAAGGGACATGAGTGCATGAAACCATGCTTTCGGCTGTGCACATCAACACAGCTTCACTTAAGACACTAGAGAAGCTAACGCTCAAATTAAAGCTGAAGCTCTAATTCATGGCTTTTAAGCAAATCAATATTTTCAAACACTTTTTTTCATCCAAATCATCAACCTCCAGCTATCGTCTGCCATTTTCTCAAGCCAGCAAATAATTAATGTAAAGTTACAGCAGCAGCATTTAAACTGTTTAAATTAAGTCTTAAGTGCACTGTGATTAGAAGTATGTTTGTTCTATGGGCTGCAGAGTGTTTTTGCAGATGGTATTAAAAGAGCCCAGATGATCTGCAAATTTGATTCTAATCAGTTTCAGCTGCCATACCTTCCCACTTAATATTTCAGATCACATTTCTAAGGAGATACTATTCTTTGGGCAAGAGAAAGAAATTCAAGAGAGTTAATAAAATTTGACACAGTACTGAGACTTTCAAGACTTTGTGCTCTCCTCTACCCATTCCAAAAGACCACACACTGCTTTAGGCAGAACAGAAATGGATTAAATCAAAGTAGTAACAGCCTAAAGTATTTTAGGTACTTTTTTCATATTAAAATATCTAGAATTTATAGTGGTTTTGTTCAGTATTTGGGCTTTTTAAAATGGTGTTAATGTATCTGCTTTAAACACCCTTTCTTGTTTTCACTGCACTTCTAATTGTATGTGTGAAAAGTCCAATAGCACCTGCCGTAGTTGTGCCTGCTGTCTCTGGAGACCTAATACCCATACATGCTGTGAAATGCAATGATTAGATCAAGGAATGTTATTCATCCTCTTCTCATCTGAAACAGGTTCTTTAAATTACAGAAAAATGTAAATAGCACAAAGCAAGTCCAAGGTAGCTGCAGGACGGGTTGGCATAGAGAAGAATTGTTTAGCAGGAGGATATAGAGGAATAAATAGTAAAGGAACTACACAGAATATCAGCTCTTCTGCTCTTCAAACTCTGCAGCCAAAATTGATGTTTTTTAGAATTTCAAGCACCCCCAAAATCCCAGAATATATGAGATGCCCTTTATCATGCAATGGCCCTTTGTCATGATCATCATGTCATCAAAATGTTAGATATCGTGTGTCTCTGTCGGCAACTAATTTCCTCTGATTGGAAATGCTATACACAAGGTCTGCCTTTTGCCACTATGACAATGATGACTTCAGTAAGCCAGGCTGAAAAAAATGACCAGAAGTAGATTTCCTCCAACTATTACCTCTATTTGAAGTGTTTTGATTCCTTGGAAAGTAATAACATGGAGAGCCAGTGTGCCCAAGTCCACCAAGTGAGGTTTGCTTACAGAAACTAAGCTATGTGGTGCAGCTCCTCCGTTCAAGCCTTGGTCACATTTCAGTGTTCACATATATGATGCTTAAGATACTGGCCTTGGCATCTGCTTCTCCATAAGTTTAGCTGCTATAAATCAGAGGAAGGAAGATCTTTTCTGTAGCTCCTACTTATGCATGTTGTTCTCTCTCCCTCTTTCCTCAGAGAGCTGATATAGGAATTTCTGCCCTAACCATCACCCCTGACAGGGAAAATGTGGTGGACTTCACAACGCGTTACATGGATTACTCAGTGGGCGTGCTGCTTCGAAAGGCAGAGAAGACAGTGGACATGTTTGCCTGCTTGGCACCGTTTGACCTCTCCCTGTGGGCGTGCATAGCTGGCACCGTGCTGTTAGTAGGGCTACTGGTCTACCTCTTGAATTGGCTCAACCCTCCGCGCCTTCAGATGGGATCCATGACCTCCACAACTCTCTACAACTCGATGTGGTTTGTGTACGGATCCTTTGTGCAACAAGGTAAGAGACAGAAGGAGTTTCTCTGCCTCCAAGAGAAAGCTATATATCCTCCCCATTGCTATAGAGACCACCTTCTTCCCTGCCTCCCTCCCACAGCCCATGAGGGACTGGGAGCACTGGAAAGCCTTGTGCTATACGGTTTCTAAGACATTTAGCTGCCCAGTGTGGGAACTGTGAGAAGTTCAGAGCACTACATGCTAGCTTGTTTTGATTTGTAGGTGACTAATTAGAGAAAGATGATTTTTCTCTGGGGAAAAAAAAAGTATTTCTCATCATCTGCTGCAGAATTATTCATAGTTAATATGAGTGCTATGTTCTTGTGCAGTCAGACAGAAAAAGCTGGATTTGGGTTTTGAACTAAGTTTAGGTTACTCACCAGTACTAAATGGTCTTATCTGATATTCTTTCCTCCCTCTTCTCATTTATCTTAATTTTCCTATATAATGTTTAGACTCAACCTTCGCTGGCCTTCCTGGATGCTTCCTCAATCCCCTCTAGCATCTGGTAAAGCCCAGGCTATTCCCCAATTCTGTTTTATATTCCCCAAGTCCTTCACAATCTACCTCTTCTGGCAGAGCTTTAACCATGCATCCTAAAGACATCAGGAACTACAGATCTTGGCTTGGTATTTACTACTTAAAATTCTGATCTACAAATTAGGGTTGTAATGCAAAGCGGAATAAAAAAACACAGCTTCATATGAGGACAGAGAAGATTTAGATAACAAAACAGAACAAGTACCTTCTGCCATAACCATGTAATTGTTCGTCAGTCACTACTGTCACTGCAGGTACGCCTATTTGTAATTGCACAGAGCATCTGCTCTACAAAGAGCCATGGCCATTGCAGCCTCAAAACTCCCAGATAGTTTTTTGGATTTTAACATGAATTTGGATGGAACACTGTAGGTAAAAGCATCATATTGATGCAACACTGGCAACGTGTAATTTAGAAATTACATTATTCTCTGTTAGAAACAATCAGATGACATCCACAAAAGCTAAAGGTATGCATGAAAAACAAGTATGAAACTCCTAGAAGGGAAAAATTGCTACATTAGCACCACCATCCAAAAAAAGAAAAGCTGAGATCGTGAATTTCCACAAGAGGTATGACTTTAAACACACCTACTTAGAGATATTATTTTTTGAAATTATCATTTACATTGAGCAGTGATGGCCAGCTGAGGAAAGCTGAAGAGATGGTTTCATGTTTGTTGGTTTTTTTTTTTTTTAAGAAAACCAAAAACTTCAGAGGCAGCTGACAGCTACAAAAGTTTTATGAGTGTATGTGGGTGGGTTTATAAAGTTTTCTTTCTGTCCAAAATATTCCCAGTGTAACTGTTTAGGGAATCCAACTGTGAGAGAGCAGTTGGTCCGTTGCAGAACTAGAGTCATTACATCTGTCTGCCTGTTAGGTTAAAACTTGTGAATTAGTTTCTTTACTGCATGAATGAGAGTAATTTTACATAGGTTTATTGCTTAATATTAACCTTAGTATCCCTGTTGTACTCCCAACATTGTTAGTCCCTAAAAGCTTTATAGAAGACTGCCCAGCAAAGGTTTAAAGGCGGCAAAGCTAATTTAATCACACACTTTAATCTCATTAATTATTATCTGAATTGTTTGCCTTGTGTCTCTCCAAGTAAGCCTGTGTTGCCTGGTCTCCCAATACATAGATCCAGAGTAGTATCCCACAAGGGAGCCCTTCAATAGATGCTCGGTTAGCTTACAAAGAAAAGGTTTTTCTTACCAGTTAGTAAAAATGAGTGCTTTAAGAGGGCTTAGAGGAGAGACTTGAATTAAACGTGAAGATGAAGAAGAAATTAGATGAAAAAAAGTGGGACCAGATGACAAAAAAAGCAGAATTTACTGGAAAAATCAAAGAAAAGGGATTTGCTCAATTTGCATCCACTGTCCGTGGTATGAGTCGTGAGGTGCAACTCAGTATTAATAAAACCTGCTGTCATAGCTGGGAGCACCAAAACTGTTGTGGGACTTCAGAAAAAGAAATTCACAGGACTTGGAAGGTGAGAGGCATTTATTTAGAGGGAGATCTCACCACCCTACCAAGTGGATTTTCAACACAACTGGTTAGAATCCACTAGAATAATATAAACTGTTCATTTGCTTCCTACTTAGTGAGGGGAAGCTATAGATACATCTCTCCTTCAAACAACAAGCAGGACGGTCCTTAATTTGCTAGAAGAAAAAATGACATGAATTTAATAGGGTTGATACCAAAGTATATAAAACTTACAGACCAATTTAAACATAAAGACTCAGAAGACCTCAGAAATCCAGTGCAAAAGAGTAAGGATCCATTTATAATGTCTTTATTTCACATTCAATTTGAATATAACAAAAACTATATTAGCTGAAGCGTTATTGTTTACTAACCCTTGTGAATACAGACAAATGAAAGTAATTTCCATTGACAGGCTAACTGGCTATTGCAGTAATTTTGCTTCTGTTTTCACTCATCAGCTCTTCATTCAGCAGAAAAACTGTGCAGGTTTTATTTGTTTTGGAACGGCAAATCTGTTGCTATTAATTGTGATTGACATATCTTAAGTGTGGCAGCATGGGGCATTTCAAACACTGTCATGTTCACTTAAGAAGTCTTTCAGCTGCTGATTTAAAACATGACAAGGTACTCATTTCTGTTATCAAAACATACAGCCAAAGATGCTTTTATATCCTGCACTGAGAGAAACAAAGCAGCATGAACCGAGCATTGCTAGTGCTGGATTCTTTGTTTGGGGCTAGTGAGCTCATTCTGGCTTCATCTTCTCTTTCTTTCCTCTAGCTAGAGGAAAGATTTGCAAGCACACAGGCTGGCTCCAGACTTGCCACAGCTCTGAAGACAAAAGAGGCCTTTGGTGCAAAAATTCAAGTCACTCTTTAAGGAAATTCATAACCTATTTTGATTGAAACAGAAAGGAGTTATTTTGCTCGTTTCTTCTGAAATAGTTAAAAACTGCAGATTTTAGCAGGTAGCTTCAGTCTGTTGTGTTACTTCATAGTTTCTTTCAGCCTTGACTCTGATGTTCTGATCAAATGTTATTAACAAGTTTGAACCTTTTGTAGTTTTTGAAACATCAGAGGAAAATACTGTGTCATTCATTGTCTGTAGACTAGAGTCAGCACAGATCAGTCCAGTAGTTTTTAAGGCAGGTCTATGATTGCTGTCATACGCAGTAGCACAATCTAAGTATTTTTTTATTGTTTCCTTAAAGGTAGACTGAAACTTAATGTCACTGCTGCTTATATCATTTAAACTTAGGTCTTGAACTTGGCTTTCAATTTCTTTTTTCCCTATGTTGGAGTGACCAGTCCAGGTATCATTTTGAGACTCTCGTGATATAGAGGTATATTTTCCCTCAGTTGCCATTTTAATTTTGTGTTTATTCATTACAGAGATCAGTATGTATGTAATTATTTTTATTTTTGTAATTTTAAGATACATGTGATTTTTGATTAGAAGAGACAATTTTGAGGATAGAGCTGCCATGTAACTGGGGAGGCTCACTTAATGTAAAAGCGTATAAACCAAAAAGTGGCTTTTTTTATTCTGTATTCAAGCCCTTCATTTAAACATAAAATGATGGCCACTGCATTGAAATGCTTTGCCTTACCCAATATACCCACTGAATCTGCCATATACTGTGACCACTAAGGCAGCAGAGACTTCCCGGTGATCTTGGCCATGCAGTGCTGTGAATTACATTTAAAAGAAATGCTTCTGACTCTGAACTATTCATCCAGGCATGAGATTCTGTAACACGCATCTGTTATCTCCGAGTTGTTTATTGATGTCTAAATATGAAGCAAATTTGTAGATTCAGACGGTGGAGGATTTCAGTTATGTTGAAATTTAGTGTCATGGCTTCTGACTTTGTTCTTTTCCACTTGCTTATCTTGTAAAACTAAGTGGCAAAGTTCTGTATTTTGCTTCTTTTCAAAATAAGCTTTTTCCAGTTGGACAGAAAATGTTGTTAAGGTTTCCTTTTCAGTGGATTTCTTTTTCCGGCTGTATTTCCCCTTGGCTTCTCAATCCACTCCTCACAGGTTTTGCTCTCGACCTACCTCACAGTGCAGCTGGTGGTTCACCGTCACTGTAGGTTTTTTCTTGGGTATCACTCAGATGGAGACCCCACTGGTGCTGCTGCTTCTGCTCTTCCCCATTGACTTGGCTCCTCCCCAGGCCTCTATTATTATATATTCAACAAAGCTCAACAAAGAGAAGTGCAAAGTCCTTCCCCCCCGGGGAGGAACAACCCCATGCACCAGTGCACGCAGAGGGCCACCCAGCTGACTGAGCACTGGAGCAGGTGCTGTCATGAATGGATAATTCAGGATGCTTAAAGAATCACCGCCAAAGATATCAGAAAGTGAATGATTTTAATATAACTTTGTAAAAAGCGTGACTTAACAGAATTTGATGGCAAGGTTCACTCTATTACTTATTCAACATAGAAAAGGTATACAGAGAAAAAACAAATTACAATTAAATTGGAATGATTTACTCATCTATCTAATCGAGTTAATGTGTATGTATGTTGAGGAGAGAAAGTAGGGGAGACCCTCCCGTTGAGTCATGAGGTTCAGAGTGGACCTAAATCCACCCCTAGTCCCAGACTTGTTCAATGGTTTATGACTAAGGTTAGGTAAGGGAAGTAAAGGAATGCTGTCCTATCGAGTCACGACGTTCAGAGTGGACCCCCTTGCTTTCTAAACTCCTTCTCTGAAAGGAGTCTAGGTGCAGTTGAATCCACTCCTATTCCCAGACTTGGTCAACAGTTTGTGACTAAAGGGATAGAGTATCAGGGATTCTGGTGTAGTGATATATATTGTGCTTGATGTAACTTTAGGACGGTGACAATTTAATACAAAATAACAGCAATCAAATTCATTAACAATATTGAGATAAAATCACAGTATCAAATCGTATAAAACTTAGCAGCATAATCAACTTAAACTTACTAAGATTCATTAATC